TCAAATATTATCTCAACTCGTCATTAAACTGACTATTTATTGCTTTCCAAAGAGCTTCATATCGTGGTACAATAAATAGACTGATAGATAATGATGTTTGTAAAAATGTAACGGTTTTTTAAGTGATATTTGCGCCAAAATATTTTATATCACACAGATTACTCTTGCGTAATCTTTATTTTTTTCTAACTTTATATATAATAATTATGATCAATACTAAATACTATAGAAAGCATCACATTGTTTTAAATAACAATACTCAACAATTATAATAACTTATTATTTATCTCGATAAGGAATCCGATCTTAAATTAGTGTAGAGAAATTATTTTTTCAAAATATTGGAGATTATGCTAATTTAACACATCGGATACAGAAAATACAGTTTATTATAATAATGTAATATGACCTTTTATGAGTTTTTGGTCTTTCTTGCTCATAAGTTTGTTTTTAGTACTCATAAGTTAGTTTTATAGTGATATTGAATTGATTAAACTGCATATGCTTTTGTTAAATTATTAAATTATTATTAAATATACTTATTGTTTTATTTTATTGTTCAGTTGAATATAGTTGTAGTGGTATATACATTTTTTATATTTGTACTAGTAACTTTGAATTTTGTTTACGTTTGTTTAAGGTAATAAAAATACCGGTAATTTACCGGTATTCCGGTTTTAAAATGAAAAATTACCGAAATACCGGTATTGAAATTTTCCATCGGTATTGCATTCCCTACAGCAAAATACAATCTTTATATTTAGTTTTAACAAAAACTTGCTTATGATTATTTATACCTAATTTGCATAGAAAACTAGATCCATTATATATTATTCGCATAGAAAACCATGTCTTCCTATTACTAAATTCCATAGCAGCTCCTGTAACGTATCGTGTATCCCAGTCAAAATTTAAATATCCCATTTCCTCCTCCTTTTGAAATATTTGAAGATCAATAAATAACACAGTATTCTAGCTACATGGGCACGTTTCAGTTCACTTTCTTGCAATATGTCTTTAGAAATAATTGCAAAAGCTCCCGTCTCCCCTGAGTCGATTTATCGGCATCGCACCGGGGGCGCCTGTCGAAGACACGCGTTCGACTCATTCGATTTTCTTCGAATTCGTGTGTAACAAAGGTAGTCAATATTTTGGAAAATACTTTACATAATTATAAATTATTATATTAAATATTGTTACTGGTGGGATGTAAATTTGTATATGAATTTGCAATTTAATTTAAATATTATAGTTTAAAATGTTTTAAAACGTTTTAATGTTTAAATGAACAGAATTAATAGAAATTTATCACAATAAATGGTCATAATTTCACCAAAGCTCTTGATTGCACTTAAAAGCTCGTTACTTTGAAATAACTTGAGATATTATTTTTTCTAATTTTTTTACAGACCAATTAAGGTCCAATACCTTAATGACGTCAAGGTCTGGGAAACCCAATATATATATATATATATATATATATATATATATTCTTATATTCAATAAGCATATCTTATTGAACCGTCAAAATAAAAAGTAAAGTATAGCTGACATTTTCACAGTACATACTTTCAAAACAGTTTTCTCGACTTGTAGAGCTTATTTACATGTAATAAACTCCACAAGTACTATTACAAACAATATGTAGAATTATTATTAACTTCCCGAAGAAGTTTTTGTTTTCATAAAAAAATTTGATTCGCTAATTTTATATTTTCTCCACGTTTCTGAATCGAATGAGACCAAATTTGGAAAAAGTATGTGTGTAGGTATGTATGTGTGTGTACTATGTGTGTGTATGTGTGTGTGTATGGAAACAGATTGTTTGCCGTAAATTGACGTTTTATCATTTTCTATAGATTTATTTCAGTTTTAATTTTTAATCAGGAGCAGGTTTAGATTTACCCAAGAACTGCTAAATTTATATCTATAATTTTATGATGTAAGGTGTAAGTGAAATTTTGACTTATTTCCAGGTTCAAAAATTTATAGGTCACCCGAGAGTTATAAATAATCAACTTAATCAATAAGAATTTAAATTTCACTACTTTTAAAATTGTAACAATAGAATGTTGGAATTTTGGCGCACGACGCACTATTCCAAGTTTTGATGAATTTTTATAAATCAACCACTTTTTCAATATTTTTGGATGTTTGTCAAGGCTATATATATCATCTAACAGCGTAACATAAAAATCATCAAACAACTTGTTTCTTAACGATTATTTACTTTAAAACTAACCCTAGATTTTTACGAAAAACTGATCAACACGATTCTCAACTAATCTTACAAATATTTTTCTATTATTTAAATCGGTTCCAAATATTTGTTTGGAAATGACTTGGCTGAAATCTTTTAAACACATTTTTAACTTAATATGAACAAATTTTGGTGATTATTATAATATTATATATTTAAGAAAAGGCGTAGCTGATCTTGCAAAAATATTTTATTTTACAGGATATTTGGTTTAGCAAATTCAAGTTTAACTGTTTATTTTTTGATGCAACATTTTTAAGTTTTATCAAAATTAGGTAAATAGGTTGATTTTTAGCAATCTTTTCTAATCAATCATCAGTTAAATGTTGATACTTCAATGCTTTTCCTTATATGAGAGCAAGGACTTCATTATACAAAAATTTAAAATAATACTCATAAAATATCATTTATTGCAACAAAATTATAGAAGTTTGAGTACAGTGATTCTGTTTTAGCTTCGGCTTATTTACACACATATATATATATATATATATATAATAAATAATATATATATAATAAATTAATATATTTATATATTATTATATATATATATATGTATAATAAATAAATAAATAAGTTAGAAATAACGTTGACGAAAACTCAAATGTTGATTTACTTACACACAAACATATTTTATTCAATCATGTCAAACGATTCAGAATTAAATAAAATGAGAAGATATAAAATTAGAAATTTTGTGGCAAAAATATAAACTTCTCCTCTCGGAAATTAATAATTATGGAATCTGAGATTTGTAGAACTTCTAACAGATTAGATCCATTTATTTCATTCAAAACTATGATTTTTATTATAATATTTTTGGCTGTAGGTACCGTTGAGAACCTGTGCTTTATCACTAAAACGTTGTTCAACAAACATTTGTTAACCTGGAAATAATTGCGATTTCGTTTTACCCGCGTTCCGGTTTCTATGTTGACGTGTTGTTTTGTTCTGCAGAAAATATCTGGGGCGCCTCGACCTGATAAATCTTTCTTTCGAACTTCTTACAGGGCAGATGTTGTTCGATGATTTATTGTTTAGTTCTCGATTGAACGAACATCGATATTAAATCATTTGTGATGTCAAATGTTCCGATTCATTTAGAAAATGTTCTTGAACTTAGGACAGAAGAAACCTTTTACATTGGTAGATATTAAAAGCTATGGTATTGGATTCAACGACCTTCTCACATTTTCTAAAAATAAATAATGTTTACAGCAATCCTGAAATACATATTGATAAATAGTAACTTTTTTCCTTCGCATTGAGTATATTTTATTTACACCTCTGTAAGTTCGTAAAGTTCTATTCAATTCCTTTTCCGTTTGTGGAGAATATGGTTATTTTTGACAAATTTTCTTTTACTTTATTCGACATTTGCATACGAAATATTCTCCTCTTACATAATGCATGCGATGAGAATAATACAACGTATATATGTTTGGTGTCCCTGCCTATGAATAACACTTTGATCTCAAATATTTTAATATACATATATTCAAGGAAAAAGAAATATATTTTCAAATGATGCAAAGGAATTGGGAAAAATATTTAGGTCAGGTTTTATATTATCAAATTAAATTGCTTACTTTTTAATGCAAAATTATTAAGTTTTCTCAATACTAAGTATAAGATTTTTAATAAATTTTTTAATCATTCATCAGTTATATGCTGATAATATAATGCTAATATGAATGCAAGAACTTCTATTTGCTTCTATTTTATATTAAATCATCAAATTACGGATATTATTTTCATGTAAATTCTATCCTTTGCACTCTTATTTATTTAAATTTATGTTATCATAATATAATGCTAATATGAATGCAAGGACTTCTATTTGCTTCTATTTTATATTAAATCATCATATTACAGATATTATTTTCATGTAAATTCTATCCTTTGCACTCTTATTTATTTAAATTTATGTTATTATTTATCAATATTGCTACATGTTAATTATTTAACAGTTGTAATAATTATTGAAATTAAAAAAAAATGAAATAATCTTTATAAAATGTCATTTAGCATAACAAATTATATATATATATATTTTATAAATATTGTTTATTAATATTATAAAAGTTTGTTTACAGTGATTCTATTTAGCTGAGTTTATATGTATATAAAATATAGGTATCTCTGGGTGAGTATTTAAGGGGTATATAAGAGAAATAAGTATTTTCCCCTGCGTTGATAATAAACGTGAAGCTTTTATTGTTATTTTTATTGTATGTAAGGTTTCTTAAACGTTACTCCAAATTGATTTTATTACATCATTCCTTTGCGCGAACTTGATTAAAAAGCGCCCGAAGAGGTGAGCTCTTACCTGAGCCTCTTCAAAAGGATATTATTGTTTGAAAGCTTCGCTCTGATCCTTTGTTTTATTTTGTAAATAAGAAGTCTGTCAGAAAGTAAAAGAACGCTTCAATATTGATTATCGAACGTAGTTACAGCATAGCAACAATAATGATCGCTTTGTGATATTAAATACCTGGACTTTTATAAAGTTTTGTGATAGAAAACATGAAAGAAAGAAGCGTGATATTAAAAATCATGCTTGTAATAAATTTTGCTTATAGAGAGAAGAAACACATATAGCATGTATCGGGTTAAATTGGACCATCGTCTAACAAAAGTTTTTTATTTTGTTTTGAGCAGTGTTATTTAGTTTACGATACCCGAATATAATATTCAAGTATACGTTATTTAATTTACTGAATAATTTATTTTTTTTCAGTGAGTTTGCAAGGTTCGCACTCGCTCCACGTCCCTCATAAATTCAGCGGCTTTCTTCTTGTCGCCGAGCAGGAAGGCCTGGTAGAGGATGGCATCGGAGGCGTCGGACTTCCTCCGCCAGGAGCAGCAGGATCTTTTGCTCTATACGGAGATGCACTTACTAAATTCAGTGATCGATGCCCGAATGCAGTCACACAAACTAGTTCTATGCCGAAGAGCGAGATTCAGGTAACTAGCTATAAAATAATTTTAACAAACATGATAGTTTTACGCCAAAGAGCAAAATTCAGGTAATTAATTGTAATGGATATAAATGAAGTTTTGACGAGAATGATAGGGATAATTATGATTAGAAATTTATTTTATGGAATTCAATCTTGAAACATTATCCCGTATAATTTAAAAATTATGAGCTTTTAAGCACAGTTTAGAGCTTTGGTAAAAGAGTCATCATTTTTCGGTTATAATTGTCAATATTTATTATTTTTGTTTATATAAAATTTGAGAATTAACTATAAATAAAAATTTCTAGAATCATAGTGGAAA